TCACTAAACAAAACCGTGACTGTGCTTATGATCTTACTTCAGCTTTCCTTTGCTTTACAGACCTGCAAAGGTCATAAATGTGAGGACTGGTCATAAAGGTACTTTTTCACCACCATCGTAACTGCAAATGGTCATTAAATGAGGCAGTTCCTAAACAAGGACTACCTGTAGAATGATAATACAGCATAAGCAGACAATATGCATCTGTTTTTGCTCCAAAGTACAAAACTCCATGCTTATTTACAGAATGAGAGTTTATTTTTTTACAAGGGCATCAGTGTCTCTTCTCTTTTCTGCACACTGATTGTCTCTTTTCCTTTTTTTACTCTGTTGTCTCTTTCATCAGATCTCTCTCCAAATTGTTCAGATTAACTTCATTATAAGAAAAAATTACTTACCATAGGGGAGTGCAAACACCTTACATTTCATCACATATGCAGAGGAGATATATAGTAATATCTGCTTTGATTGTTTGAATGCAAAGGTGAATGAACAAATAAATAAATAAATATTTCCCCATACTTACCCAGTAGTGCTAGGAGAATCCAAAATAGGGGATTCTTGCACTATAACGGGTTCCTTTTCCTAAGGAAGGAAAAACATAAGATTTTTTTTTCAGATTCTGTAAATATTCAATTCTTTCTGTAAACATTAAAAAGATAGTTTACCTTGTTCATTTTTATTCATTAAACTAACAAGTAAACCTGAACACCACTTACCAAAATAGATGGCTCAGACATTTTTTGAATCATTTTTCTAGTATATGGGCCAGGAGGACGACATACAGACTTTTTCTTCCCTTTTCTTTCTACACCATTAGTAACTTCCCTAGAAAAGAGTTTTATTTTTAAAAAATAATATTGGTCTGTATTTATTTACAATTTAATTTCTGAAATTTCCTTTATCAATTGTATTAGAATTTTGAATGTTTATGAAAATTAGAGCTCTAAGAAGTGAAATATAAAAGCACTATATGAATAAAACTACACCCCATTAGAACCAGAAAGGAAAACCACTATCAATTTACATTTCTGCAACTAATATGCCACTCAACTTCCCAAGGGGCTCTAAGAAGATTACAAATTATAATTATAAAAGTTCATCAGTCAATAATAACCACAAAACCTTCCAATCTGTCATCACAGAGAGGAAAAACAATCAGAATTATACCAATCATACCAACCAACTGCAAAGAAGTGACCTACCCTACCAATAATCTCCAAAGACTTTACCAAACAGCCAGGTCTTAGAGACTTTCCTAAAATGCCAACAGTGTTGATCTGACTGGCTGCAGTGCTATTCTAAACAAGAAGGAACAAAGTAATAGAAAAGGCGCATCCTTGTATTCCCTAATGATGACAATCCTTCGAAGATTAAGGGTGCTCTCATTAGATCTTATTGAACAAGCACAACTGCTGAGAGAAGGGAGTCCCAAAGATATTTAAGTCTCAAGCAAGGTAAGGTTTAGAGGCAACTATGAGCACCTTGAATTGTACCAGAATCCAAGTGGCAAACAGAGCAGTTCTTACAGTTGTAGTGTTGCTTGGATATGTCAAAAGACTCTTAACTACAAGAGTCATTGCATT